CGTGCGTGTGCGTGCGTGTGTGTGTGAAAATGTCTTCATCGCAAGTCACTCGGGCCCGGCTGCTACCTGGAGCTGCCCTGCTCGTCCTGGATCGGCCCCGCCCCGCCCCCTTTGGCTTTGGACTGCGCCAGGGGGCATCTCCAGGGGGCTGCTTGGACGCTGCTGGCTGCCTTTTGTCGGGAACATTTTCCTTTTATACTTTTTCTCTCTCTTCCTCTCTTTTTAAATTTTTTGTATTCCCGCCCTTCTTCTCCGCCCCTCTTTCTGCCTCTTTCATCGCCGCATCATTTGTTGGATCAGAAGATTATGTTGTTTGCTGGAATCGTCTCTCGCTCTGCGCCACTACTCTTCTTGTTCCTCTCTCTCTCTCTCTCTCTCACACACACACACACACACACACACACTCGGGCAGACGTCGGGTACACGTCAGGTCGGTAACGAGGCTGGAGTACAGCGCGCCCTTATAGCGCCACACCGTGCTGGTGCCGGCGGCGATCCTATGTCGGAGACCTTTCTGTCGCTCTCTTTTTCTCTCTATCTCTCCGGAGGGACTCCTCTCCTGGACGTCGACGACGACGCGTCTCCACCACGGCGGACAGGTCGGACACCTCGAGCGCGAGGAGGACTCCGCTGGAGTCCGCTTGAGTCCGCTAGAGTCCGCCACCGTCCGCCCATTGTGCTCGCGGAGCAACGCCGCCGTGCACGCCGAGCTGGCCGAGAGCTCCTCCCCCTTCGTGAGTGACGGACGACCTGGGGGACAGTTCGCACAATGCGGGGCGTGGCCGCGGCACCGGCGGGCATCAGATCTGCTCTGCTGTATGGGAAGTGCTAAGGCAGCATGCCTGATTTGTGGGAGTACTATATACAATTTTTCGACTTCTCTCTTATCCTGTCGAGCAGAAGAGAGGCGAGAGTAAAATTTACTGCATACGGGCTTGGCCTGGGGCAAATAAGGTTTGCCAGGAAACGAAATAGCAAAAGTTCTTGTTAAAGGCAAATAAAAGCTAACATATTGCACCTGAAGGAACAAACGAAACACTTTTGCTATTGTGATAAACTTGTATTACCCGTGCACCGTCCGTCCATGACCATCCTCAGGCGAGTCCAGCCAGCACCAGCAGCGCCGCTCCTCACCGGCGGCGTTCGGCCCATTCCAGTCGTGTTGTCCTTATATACACTCCTCCTCCTTGCATCCTTTCCGACGAACTCATTGCTGTTCTCTGCAGCAGGCTGCGGGGCGGCGGCAAAGAGGTGCAACTTCTTCCACGCTCGCTCTCCCTTTGCCTCCTCCCTTTTCCCTCCTCACCTCTCCCCGCCGCTCCTCGACACTCCGGCGTCTTTATCCGTGCTTTTGTGTGGAACATCGGTCCACTTCCATTTGAAATGCTCGAACGGTCACGGGTACCGGGCACCTTGCTATCCTCGCTGCTCCCAGCGGCCCCACCCCGCCCCGCCACGCCCCGCCACGCCCCGCCGCTCCCCTTACGGGGCGGCCAAGTTCACGTCGGGGCGGTGAAAGCAAGGCGAAAAACGTAAACAGAAGGAAGGCGATCTGCAAAGAGAGGAGGAGCGGGCCGCGCTTACAAGTTGGTTAGTTAGTAGTTGTTGCCTGCCCCCTATAGACCTGCCGCGTGCCTGCGGCTGGCAGCTGTGGGCCGGACAAGGCCACACGGTATACCGTGCAGCCTCGGGGTAGGCAACACAGCCGCCCTCCTGCCTCGGGATTGCCTACCTGCCCGGCGCCCGCTAGTCTAGTGCCCTCGGCGAGTGCGTTGCATCAATACGAGGCTTGTGTGGTCTTTCATTTTATATCATTTTTTTTTGTGTTACGGTGTGAATGTGCCATATCCTTTGCAAAACTGTGGAAGTGTATGTCTGTGCTCTTTTTGTTGGAACAGAAGGACGTCGGGCGGGGTCAACTTCACGGAGCTGCAGCGCAACGGCCGCCGTGTAGGGTTTGAGTTTGAGTTTGAGTTTTATTGCCACTGAACATAGTACATGTTATGGACATTAATAAATGTAAGGGTAGGCAGCCCGCCCGCACCCATGCGGCAGGGTTGCCTATCCGGAAGGCGCTCGCCGGCCGCCGGGGCCGGGTGTCGCCCCTCTTGGAGGCGCCGACGGTTGTGACGAGGCGGACTGTGGTGTCCGGACGGACCGAGGGATCGGGAGACAACGAGATGGGAGTAGGCTGCTGTGCTGATCCGGCCACAACTCATCCTTGACGCGCTGCGGGCCGGACAGAGTCAGTCGGACGCACCGCAGACAGACGGACGGGCGCGGCGACCCACTTCCATCTGTGCGGCGGCGGGCAGGGCAGAGCAGCGCGCTTTTCGCAAACGGTCGAGCGCTGGCTGCTGAGTCGAGCTCAAAGCTGGCGTCACCGAGCCAGAGCCGTCGTGTGAGATATCACGCGATTGTGAGGCGCGACAGAGCAGCAGCAGCAGCAGCAGCAGCAGCGGAGGTACGCGTAGGCGAGAGAGACAGAGACAGAGTATAGGGGGGAGAGAGGGAGACGGGGGAAGTGCTTGTCGTCTTTCCATAAAACATATGAGCAGCGGCCCCGCGCCCCGCGCGCTACACCCGCGCCCGCATATCAGGCGGCCGGCACAGATTGTCTTTAAGAGGCTTACGCGGGCGCGGGGCGCGCGGCGCGATGCAAGGGCCGGCCGTGGGACAAGACCACCACCAACGTGCCGTGGCGTGGACGCACACGAGCTGCTTGAGGAGGATAGGTGGGCCGGGCAGGTATCGAGTGAGCCGGCGTAAGGCAGTCCTGCTAGAAAGAGCGAGGAGCTGAGCGAACTAGAACGGCAGAGGGCGGATAGAGCGGATTGGGCGCGCGTCGCAGTAGCACGCAGTAAAAACGACGTCTTATTTTTGGATAAAAGGGGAAAAATTTGAGGAACTCCCATTGTTGAAGGAAAACTCGGATTTTGAGGCGGTCTCCTCCAAAAATGTGAAAATTCCACCCATTTTTTAAGGAGGGATCATCAAAGTTTTTCCGTTTTCCTCATAAAATCAGAGACGATGTTTTTACCGCGTAGTGCGGTCCTGCTGCAAGGAAACAAAAGCACAGTTTGGGGGAGACAAGGGGAACCGAGGGGACCATGTGCCATTGGGCCATGTTGCCAAGGACAGCCCCTGCCTGGCCCATGGGGCGAGGTGGTGTGGGGGCGAGGTGGTGTGGGGATGGGGGTAGTTGTGTTTCTGGTGGCGCGGCACCTTTCAGATCTGAAACCGAGCAAGTCTAGGAGGCCGCACTCACCACCGCTTGGACGCAATATGACGCGGTGTCACTTATCAGTCTACAAAATTCTGAAGCTAAATTTATTTCAGAGAGAGTAAAGTGAAGAAATGAAGGCACTACTTGGTTCCCACCGCTGACCTTACTTAATTTATGGAAGCTGCGGCCCCAAGTTGCAGCGCTTCCTCATGGCCTGTGAGTCAGACACCTCCCCACCCCACCCCGCCCCGCCAGCCAGTGGCTACATGGTAGCAGTTTGGCGGACCGGGGCGTGGTCGGGCGTGGCGGGGCGAGGCGAGGCGCGGCTACATCTGCCAAGACGCGACTCGCGTGCCCAGGCTACTGTACGAGAAGGTAAAGGCGAGAGACTGTAGGCGATCGCCGATTTTTATTTTTCGCACATTTTGCAAAGGTGGAGGGAGTAGGGGAAGGCGGAGAGGGGGGCAAGTAGTCAGGTGAGGGGAGACGGGTGGGGGGACGCCCTGTGCCGCCGAGGCGCCGGCTATTCTGGTGGCCCTAGAACCAGTTGTCTGACGCTAAGCAGAGCCGCCGCGGCGAAGCCGGGCGGGGCGGTTGGTCAGGAACGCCACGACGAGAAGGGCCGGCGCTCATGTTTGAACGGTGGCAAAGAGGACCAAGGCGTCCCGTGTTGAGGTGTCGGCCGTGAAAGTATCCTGCGCGCTCGGTTCGCTCGCGGAGTGGAGGGCTCCCCGGCCCCGCCGCTGACCCGATGCACCTGTCGCTCTCACGTGGAGCGTGGAGCTCCGCCTCATTGACACGTGTCGCTGGGCCCAGAGCCACCCGCGGACGGACGGACCGACTGCCGGCCCGGCGACGCTCCTGGCCGCCTCTCTCGCTGGCCGGCCCGGCCGCAGAAATAGACGCACAAAATGCTTCCGAGCGGCCAAGGGGAAGAGGAGCCCGGGGAAAGAGGGGGGAGGAATACGTCACTGCCCTTCCTTATTGCCCCCTCCCCCCCCCCCCCGACACACACACAAGAACTGCAACACTCATAACCTTGCCGAACTGACCAGGCCGAAACCCAACGCTTCAACGTTCGCAGACGCAGAGTATGTATACACAGGACTGCCTTCCCGCTTCGTCGCAAAAATAGAAAAAAGGGAAACAATAATTTTCTCTAATTTTAAGAGGTGACTTATGGAAATTGGTTCAATTAAGATCTGCTCTAGCCAGCCGTATAGGAGACAACTTATAACGGAAGTCGGAAAAGACGGATGTGGGAAAAACTACTACTGTCAAAGTTTTTTATTATTTTCTTATTCTTTTCATCTTCTGAAACGCATTTTAGGAATAACGCTCTCCGCCACAATATTCTTTCTGTCGAGCCCATGGTTAAGTTTGCAATTGTTTCCTCGGCCGGTCCGGGCTCGGTCGTGCTTCCCTGCTGCTGCCCCTCCCCCTCCCTTTTCCCGCCGTCCCCCCTCGCCTCGCCCTCGATTCTCTCTAGGCGCTGTTACTGAAATACAGCTCTGCGTAAACAAAGCAGGCAATGAGACGCAGGGTAGTCCCGACCAGGCCTCGGCCAGAGCCTGCGAGTGGGGAGTCCATTGCAGTCCCCCCTCCCCCGCGCCTGGAAACGCATAAGCCGAGTCAGTGACCTCCACTCCTCACGACCACGACCAAACGGCCTGGAAGAGCGAGCGAAGCATGGGGGCGCTCGGCTCCGGTCTCTGCAGTAGTAGTGCCCATAGTATGAGGGAAACCAATCCCTCGACTCACAAAACTGACTCACCATGCCGTGGCAGAGGTTGACGGCGACGGAGGACTTCTGGTCGTCGCGGACGCGACCCGTGTAGAAGCACTGCGCGTGCTGGCGCGCCGGGGAGCGCACCGTCGTGTTGTGGGTCATGTGCGTCACCTGCGAGATAAATGTCAGCACTTTACACATAGGAGAAACAACCGTTTGTTTGCGATAAGGTCTTCTTATTCCATTCCATTTTTATTTTCTATTTCCCGAAAGTCGGTTTTTTGTTGGTCAGTCTGATATCGAACTGTAATTTGTCCGAGATTACGGAGGTTGGCATTCATTTTGGTTTCGGTGTTAATTTTATTTTTTACTTCATAGGTCGTCGCGGCAAAGAAAAGAAGAGCAAAGTGACAGAGTTTTTATGCAAGCGCCGCTCTCTGAGAATGTTATCTCCATTCATAAAAGTTTGGGGCCATCGCGCGCCAACGTGTGAATGCAGAGGGGGCGCTACGACCCCGCAGTCTGGGCTCCGAACGGCGACGCGGTGGCTCCCCGAGGATTTGAACCCATAAAATCTCAGTCACTGTTATTGTTATTACCATTGTTTTATTTTTATCAACTGGGGGAAAACACTCACCAGGATGTTGGGGTCGACGAAGCCGGCGTCGTGGGCGAGCTGCAGCCAGAAGGAGATGCCGAACGCCGTGAATCTGTACTGCGGGTGAGGGTCCCACAGGTCGGCCTGCATGTGTCGAAAGTGTCCGGAGGGACGGAGAGGGGGCGAACCTGGGTCATGAAACACAATAAAAACTTTACTGATTTGATTCGAGAGTAAAATAAAATGTTTGGAACTCTTTAAACGCGCATGTTCACTGCCCCCGTCGCCGTCGGGGCAGGTAAAAGGGCCTTTGTGTTAATGGCGTACACGACCCGCGCGTTATCAGCTCGCTCTAGGTGGCGGGGCGGGGCGTGGCGGGGCGTGGCGGGGCGTGGCGGGGCGTGGCGGGGCGTGGTGCTTACACGGAAGAGCGTGCCCGACGCTAATGCACGTGCCCCACCGCGTCGAGGCGCCACCGAGACCCGCCGCCTGGCGCCACTGAGACAGATGACAAGCGCACCCGCCCCGCAAGCCCAGTATGAAATCCAGCCTAACGTAAGCGATAGGCGGGATAGACCGAAAGGCCAGGCCGCAGCTTGCTGGACACTGACACCCTGTCAGTGCATTCATTTACTTTTGCTGCGTGAAGACGCGTGCAGATTTTTATGGAACCCTTTCTTAAGCACAACTATCGTGGCTGGCACGGTGTGCGAAATTCTCGCTAGTTAGTTCAGTCAGTTCTGCACCAAGTTGATACAGAATAGTATAAAGTGTGGAGCATAAAGCGCCGTTCCAATGCGTCCTCGTGTACAAAACCCTCCACACACTATTACCACGAGTCTGTGGCACTCTCGAGACCCTATCTGGCAGCAGTTCCCAGCCCCAGCGCGGTGTCCTCATCATTGTGCTGTCCCTCGCCGCTGCACTCCGCACCGATAGCGAGCTGTATAAAGGGGCACCCATCAGACCCTCGGGCCGCCCGCGGAGGAATCCCGCAGTTACTCGAACTCCCCACCACCACCCACCCCCTACCCCTACCCGCGAGTGCGTGGGGCGCAGGGATCGCCGTTGGTCAGTCGGAACTGCAGCGAAGACGCCAACGCCCGAAAGATAACGCCCCAACGGCGTTTACCCGCAGAAAAAATGTGTTCACAAAATTTTCCCTCGAAATATCTTGGTTGAAAAAAAATCTCTATTTAGGACGTTTTATCCGCCGCTGTACCTCAAAACTCCCCACAGTCACCACAAACAGTGCAAGGTAGGGCCGTGCGGTTACAGACTCTACTCTTCCCGAAATCTAGTCCTGTGGCTGGCTGGACGCGACTGTTGGGGGAAAATGCCACGGCGCGTCAGAGCAGCAGCCAACGGGATATTCCGATAAAGGCGCGTCCTGTCGCCTACTCCAGGCCGTGCTCCGCTATGCTCACTCACCGGTGGTGGGGGCGGCCCCGCTGCGCAGGTCCCGCTCGGCGAGGGGCGGCGGCGCCACCTTGACCGGCTTCACGTACTGCGAGAGGGGTTGCCCGGGCGGCTGCGTCGGCGTCCACGGCTGTGTCCACGGCGACGTCCCTGCAACAACATAAGACGATCAGGACGATTACGAGGCGGAAACATACAAGTTGGACAGACGGTCAAAACAATTAATTTCGTCAGGAAATTACGACGTTTCCGCATCGTTGTATAACCACATTTTTCATCCGTCAGAGGCGTTACTTTATGAGCTACAAGAGGCGATATTTGCGGTATCACACGACGACCATAGGAACTCGAACCAGGCACGGCCTTCGTTTCTTTATTCCGGACGCCAACGGCGCAGAGATGGAAATCGGGAGGGAGTCTTTTTGGAGCCGTGCAGTAGTATTTTACGTTGACAAACTGAAAAGTTGTTATCTGGGGCTGGCCATCTTCCTCCTAGAGAGAAGCACCATAGCGCGCTGCTGCTAGTGGGACGGGCCCCAGCCCCGACCGCCCCAGGGCTCATAAACACAAGGCCTGTTCAGTTAATTGGCACGTTTGTGTTCCAAGTCCAATGCATTTTACGGCGAGATGGGATGG